TAATGCTGTCACTTTTAAGATAAAGGAAAAATTGATCACTTTACCCTCCAAAATTAAAATTGAATCACCTTTTTTCTGTGGTGACAAATGTTTTCTCTGAAATTTCTCTCTTCGGGACTCTAATTAATATTTCAGTCTGATAAATGGGCAGGATTACTTAGAGAGTTATTCTGCTAGGAGGCAACGATGCCACCTTGTGGCTGTGAGAGTTTCTATATGAGAATATCTTGTCAAAGGATAGAAACGTACTCCTGAAGGGAAAGTTCCTTTTTTAAAATTATCTTGTACTCCAGGAATAGCATTAGAGTAACTATTTATCTCTTCTGAAGTGATACCTAACAAATAATCTAGGTCCCTGTGCTAGATATCATACAAATACGTGACAGAAACAAGCTCTTCTGCCCCAAACTACTCGCAACCTTAGGTAGTAACCTGTTGTATTTTAAATGTCTGAGATTAGACCTGGGTAACAGTGCAACCAGGTAGGAGATCTTCTATATCACTTCCACCATGTCAGTTTTGTTCTGCTTATGTATTTCCCATTCAGGGATATGTGCGAGTCCATTACATATGTATCATACAAACTCTTGATATTACCAAGAGCTGTAAGTTTCTCATTTGTGAATATCATAACATAGGTCTTTGCATTTTGCCTGCTTGCGAGACACTTGCATGCTAGTTTTTGCAGAAGCACAATTGTATCTGGTGATGGCCTCATTTAGACTTTCCTGTGATCACTCTGTTTTTGAGAGGGCAAATCTTTCTCTTTTGCCAGTGCCAAAGGTTGAAGAGATGAACCGCAGGCTGGGCAACCTGGTGGAGGAATTTAAGCAGCTGGTTTATCCCCCTGACTACAATCCTGATGGGAAGGCTGTAAAGCGAAAACAAGGTAAGTAATGACAGTGCAGACATGCAACATGGTGTCTGTGTTCTTTGTTTAGAGGCTTCTGCGTTTTCAGTTTGTCTCATAGTTTAAAGAAGCTGCTTGTGCAGTAACTCTTTACTCATCTCCACAACAAAGTGGACTTATATCCAGCAGTGATTCTTAGAGAGTAGAGGATATTGTGGTATCCAGCTAGAAAACTGCTGGAATGAGAAACTACATAGTGAAAAAACAGAGAAGTATAGAAAGCAATGTGGGTAAATTACTGCAAAATATATATTTGTTTATTATTATTTTTATCATTATAATTATTAATGACTTTGGTTTTTTTACAATGGAGTAGTAAAATCGTTCATGCTTTCATTTTGTGTTCTTGGTGAGGAAGCACACTTTTATGCACGGGCTGTTTAGCAAGTCCGAGATAGGCATCTTTAGGGCTAAATATCTAAGTAGTGCTGAAGTACATGTGTAGTTTGGGAGTCTATGAAACTATGCATGAAGTGGGAGTGTCAGTTAGCTGAACTCCCTGTGGAATAGTTGCATTCTCCTGTCTAGATGAGAATCCCTTAAAAGTTTCATTTGGGGATAATCTTTCCATCAGAACACAAAGTTTCATACTTGAGTTTGAGATAATTCTTATCAATGAAATATATTACATGACTTACGTAGTGAGTGACACCTACTTCATAAAACACAATATGGAAACTAGGTCTGTGAGTGTGTAGGTAGCTGTTAACGTACCATGTGCTAATGGCCATTAACTGTGGTATGTATAAGAAACATTGATGTCTTTCTATTAAGAAACTTTTTAAAATATTGGTGATCTAAAATTTATTTTTCTAGCTTCTGATGGTCAAACTGAGAAGAGGCCCAAGGTAGAAGTCTCAAAAGATGAGCTGCGGAGTCACGTGCAGAAGGGCACTCTAGGCAAGCTCACTGTACCTGTTCTGAAGGACGCATGCAGGCTTTACGGGCTGAAGGGTGGGGGGAAGAAGCAGGAGCTCATGGACGCGCTAACTGAATACTTTAGTGAGCACTAAGCAGGAGCAGAAGGCCCTGGTTGACTTCCTTCTGCTTAAAGTTTTGGTTGTCTTATGTGGATGCTGCGTCTGTTTAATCTTGCTATGGAGGAGAAGGCAACTAAATGTTGCTGAATCTAGCAGTGGAGAAACTTTTTACTCTTAGTTGTGAAACATCTCTGCAAAGTTGGATTCTGTTCACAGTAGCCAAAGGCAGAATTAAATTCCCTGCTAACTCAGGTCACCCACTGCAAGTGAACACAGTTGTGCCTTCCCGGTTTCTTAATAAAAGTTATTTTGGAGTTCTTACTTTGCAACACTGGCTATACCATCTTTGCATCATAAAGACAGCAAAACTCATTTCAATGTGACTAAGAAAGAATGATCTGTGTTACTGGCACCACATGAATTCAAGCAGCAGGTCAAGTCTGTGTGCTAATAGAGGGAATAAATGTGGTGTATTACTCTTCTACTCTCCAAGACAGCCAGTCAGTATCAGTGCTTGTAATCAAATTGGATTCTCTTCCATCATCGGCGTTACAAAGATTACCAGCAGACCATAAAGGAGAAAATCATGACTGGGAAGCAGTAGCCCATCCTTTGGGCAAAAAGCCAGCACTTCACAAAGCTGCACAGCCAGGTCTTCCATTTTTAAATGGTAATAGTAAAAGCTGGTTTAAAAAAGGAAAAAAAAAGAAGTCATGTTCCCTGGAAGGCTGCAAGTACTTACCCCAGTTAAATTACTGAGATGGCATAGAGCTTTTCCACCTCTGTAGCGAGTATGAGTCAGACTATTGTGCAGGCTTCTGTACTCAAATCTGTGCTTTAAAAATAAAAAAAAAGCAAGTTGTGGAGAGTAGCCCTTATTAGTTCCAGTATTTTTATGTTTTTTAATCATACTTATGGAGGCTGCGTCTGGGGCTATGTTTTGGTTTTTAAACTTCCACGCCCCACTTGTCTTGCAGCACAAGATGATTAAACCCAGAAGTCATTGCTCTTGCTGTAGAAAACACTACTAATTGTTTAGCTAAACTGTAACTTTCTACGGGATGCAAACATGGGATACTTGAGGTATCCATTTTGGTCTGCGTGGTGTTTTTGGGGTTTCCTGTGTTTGGCACTCAAACTATTGGGCAACTTATTGAAGAACTAAGGTCGTGCCCATGCTGTAGTGTGGCACATGTATCGGAGCCAGCTGTGAAAGCTCTCTTGGCACTGTGACCACCCTAGCTGTGCCAGCGTGCTGCTCACTTCCACCTCCATAGCTCCTCTCAAAAGAGCAGCTAGCCCACGTTGAGCTCTGCAGTGTTGAAGCTACGTAGTGTGTTATACTTTCAATCAGCCTGCATTATAAGTTATTTTTAATAAAATTTGTCTAAGCAATCAATTTATTTTGCCCTTCGGCAAAGTTACTGTAAATGCTTCTCTTAGCAAGATTTGAATTGAACACAATAAAATAGTGAGACTATCCTGTCCTCAATTGTGAATTTTCATTCCCCAAGTGCCCTTGCTAATTTCTCTCTTGGCTTGCTAACCCCCAGGGCACAATATGTTCCAGGCTTTGGGTGATGATGGCATGGTTTGTCTAGGTTATTAGATCTTCCTCCTGGCTTTTTTTTCTGTTAAAGCAGGCTATTGCATTAAGCAGAAGTTCAACAGGGATGGAGATGGAAGGCTTCAGAGCAGAAAGTTAAGAGAGTTTGTCTTGCTCAAGAGTCCTTTATTTCTGGTCCTTATGTGCTTTGTTTTACATCAGCTGTCTTGGCATGGTACAATAAGGCAAGTCCTTTGCAAAGCTGTGGTTTTAAACACAACTAGCTCAACAGTCAGCATCAGTAGAGGGGAACAGCAGCATTTCTAAACTTCATACAAATGAAAGGACTCTCAAATCTTTGTATTAAGTTCACCTCAGCAAGGATATTCGTTATCAGCCATTTACAAAGATAAACAGACATGATTTGTCTTCAGTCTTTCGTGAGATGCTTTCATCTGCTTGGGATATACTTACTACAGGCATGAAGTTAGTGCCTCTGTGGAAGCATTACAGGAGAACTTATTTTCCCTTCTGCTGTTATTGGTCTTTCCATGCTAGCTTTGCCCTCCTGCAATAGAAGATGGGTTTGATGATACCAATTCCAACACAGAGGTTTAGACTCTTCTGCTCAGAGCAGTAAGTGGATTTATTACACACTATGCATTTAACTAAAGCTAGCTCCATAAAACCACCACTAACACAGAATGCTGGTGGTGCTTCACACTTTTCCAGAACGTGGGATTATCCAACATTCTCTTCTTGAGACACAAGTTGTTTTATCTGAAAAATTACGTGCTCTGTTGCCTTGGCCATGACTTAAAGGGTTTACCTTTAGTCAGGTGACTACAGTACAGCAGCTTCCCTAAAAGCATGAGATATGTAGGGTATTTGTCAGCCACCACAGGCTGCTCTCTACCATGCATTTTGTACTTAAATACGCTAGGAAGCCCAAGCTCACTGATACAGTCCACACAAAGAAAACTGAAGGAGTATGAACTACTACACTGCAATAGCCTTTAGGCAATCTCTGAGCAGTTTAGCTTTACAAGTAGGAACACTTCAATTAGTTGCAAATGCTTCCCCAAGGGAATGACAATTATATTTAGCTTTGTCAGCAAGTTTATTTTTCTTAAAAAGTCAGTATTTAAAAATAAGCGAGACAAGAGATTTCCCCTTGTGCACTGCTGTAAGATTTCTGCTCCCAATACACCTCTTAACAGAAGTCTCTTGTCTGGTTTCAAGAAGAAAAAGGGTTGTGCTATGCGTACTGATCTTGGCTCCGTCCGCTGCTACACAGTAGCCGCTGCCTGCCCTATACGTGGTCTACGCTGCCCCATCACTGAAAGCAACAACTCCAGCAGCCTGCATGCACACGCTGTGCGGGGAACCGACATGCCTCATCCTCAGTAGACTAAACCGTTCAGAAACACAGTTACTCACGCCTGTTAGAGGGTGAAGCTTAGCAGAAATACTGCAACGCAGAGTAAGCTAATGGGGAGGTTAAAAGAGCCCTGAGCAGGCAGACATGGAGATAAGAGGGGAATTTTTAAAAATTTTTTCTTTCTTTTAAACATCAAACAGGAAATACAGTTGTACAATCACTTTTCAAGAATTAACACAATGAGAATGAACATGTTGGAGTGGAATAACAGAAAAGAGGGGGGAGGAGAGACAGAAACACTAAGAATTAAGCCATTATTAAACTAAAATGTGGCATTTTGAAATGAAACACTGATATCAAAACTGTAATCTCAACTGAAGCTAGACATTAATTCCCCCTGACTTCAACTTTCCTATTCCACACACACTTAAACTCATGGGCATTTAGACCAACAGTCTTTCTATAGCTTGCTGGACAGACTGGATCTGAGGCTTTAGCTGTGATCCCTCCTTGATGGTGATGGAGCAGGCGATGACAGGCCGGGAAACACCACACGCCCGGCCCAGGGCTTGCTTGGAGCGCACAAACACATAAGGTACGTTCTTGTCCTCGCAGAGAAGAGGGAGATGCAGGATGATCTCCAAGGGCTCTGCGTCTGCCGCCATCACAATGAACTCCGCTATCCCTCGGTTCAGCGTTTTGGTGGCTGTAAAAGAAATTGAAGAGTAAGTCTAGGTCCTTCTGGAAAGCACATCTAACAAAAAACAGCATTAGGAGATCTAGCAGTAGCATGAGGACAGGCCAAAGGAAAGCGGCAGGGAGGGGCTTACTCACAGGGCTGCACCTGGGGTACTGTGCCCAGCGCTGCCCTCGAGCACAGTGGAGAGATTCGCAAGGGAGCAAGGCCAGCCCAGGGCTGCTGACGGCTGGGGGGGCACCAGGGATGAGGGGAGACTGAGGGAGCTGGGCTGGTTTAGCCTGGAGAAGAGAGGGCCGAGGTGGGAGCGGGGGGGATGCAGCGGCTGTCTTCTACTATTTCAAGGGGATTGCAGAGAAGATGGAACCAGACTGTCCTCGTGAGTGCGCAGGAAAAAGGACAACCTGCAGACTGTGACTGTTGCCTCAGGGAGATTCTGGGGACATGCTGGAATTTTATTTTTTTTTTCTCCCCTTATGACAGGGGTTTAAGCCATGGGACACGGGTCCTGAGAGACTGTGGAGTTTCTATCCTTAGGGATCGGGGTTTTTTTAAAGTTTGACTAGGCAAAGCCCCCAAGCAACCTGATCCAGCTGGGACGGGAGCCATTCTCTGAGCAGGTTGCACTAGAGACCTCCAGAGGTCCCCTCAAACCCAAATCTTTCCATGATTCTAAAGTGGCTGGTCATCTGGTAATCCCAGTGCCACACCACCATGATCACAGGACATGCACCAGGAACGCAGTTTGGGCATCTATGAGAACTGTATATAAATGTTGAAAAATGTTACAGCTTAGTACTGTCCCTCAATATTGCTTAAGCAGGCTAGGAGGAGAAGGAAGGAGAGGGACACTCGCAATATCCACATCTATGTAATGTTAGTGGCCCATCTCTAGCCACAGGCTCTCAAAATATCCTTGCTATGATTTCTAGCACACTTTGCAACGCACAGGTCTCACCTTCATTGGCTCCCTTGCGTAGCTGCTTATAGTTGCAGGATTGCTGCACAAGATCCAGTAGCGTTTTGGTGAGCTGTGCATCAGCCAGGGGGTAAGCTTTGGGATTCACTTCTGCCTCACTCTAGAGAGAGGAAAAAGTAGAGAGTATTTATTTTACTATTTTATTTTACTATTTTATTTATTTTACTATTTTACAACAGGAGCAAATGGGGCTTTGTTCTGAACAACACTACACAGGCATCATGTCCACCACACATACTGACTACTCGAGTCACCTCACCATTCTCAGTTGCTCTGCACATACACTAAAAATTCCACTGCATTTTATTTATAAAAAGTGATTCTTCTCATATTCAAAGTAGAGAGTATCTCTACTCACACAG